TTCGTAACTGTAATAGAAGCAATATAACAACTTACTTTTGTAGCAATGAGAATGTGGCGTTTTGAGAAATAAGTTACAATGTGATAAAGACATTGCTTTTAAGTTAAGTCTGACAATATATATAATGTAGATGTATAAGAAAAACATATAAGTCTGTCATAATGTAAGTTACATCTAAATAAATAATCTCTATGGGTAAATGTTGTCTCTCAAAACCTAATTAATCCTAATGGACTTGCCAATCCTTCAATTTGGACTAAACCAGTCATCATTTTCAGGGAAAATTTCAGAAAATGTACTGAATGAAGTGCAGAATATGATCAGAAGGCACATCAGTACTGGCTGATATTGGTCTGCATTGGTAGAATCAGTAAAAACATTTGATTTTCATAAATCATAGCAATAATAAAACATTTTAATTTGAATATTTTCTTATATAAAACAAACAGCAGCAGGATAAAGGATGACAAGCATAATAGCATTTTATAACAAGAGCCACCGCCGGGCGGGGGCAACGCTCGACTTTTTACTTTTTCTAAACGCAAACATAGAAAGGTTTGAACATATATTGATGTTTCCTTTTTATAAATTTAAATGGTCTGTCTTGTCACATTAGTTTTGTTTATATATTTTGTATATATATGAATAGAAACATTAAGCATATTTCTAAAAATAGCAACAGTACGCAATTTCTAAAAATAGCAACAATGACGCAATTTCTAAAAATAGCAACAATGACGCAATTTCTAAAAATAGAAAAAATGACGCAATTTCTAAAAATAGAAAAAAATGACGCAATTTCTAAAAATAGAAACAATGACGCAATTTCTGAAAATAGAAAAAGAAATGACGCAATTTCTAAAAATAGAAACAATGACGCAATTTCTAAAAATAGAAAAAAATGACGCAATTACTAAAAATAGCAACAATGATGCAATTTCTTAAAATAGAAAAAAATGACGCAATTTCTAAAAATAGAAAAAAATGACGCAATTACTAAAAATAGAAACAATGACGCAATTTCTAAAAATAGAAAAAAATGACGCAATTTCTAAAAATAAAAACAAGAGGGCCATGATGGCCCAAAGTCGCTCACCTGTATATAGGCCCCCGGAGCGGGGCCAGTTTAAACCCCAGGGCTTTTATTTGAACAAAGTAGGTTGACACCCATTAGAAGATGTTTCATGCTAAACATCTAAGGTCTAGCTTATTGGGTTTTTTAAAAGAAGATTTTTTATGTATTTATATATATATATATATATATACATATTATGTTATAATATATATACATATATGTACATAATATGTATATATGTGTATGTGTGTGTATATATATATATATATATATATATATATATATATATATTATATATATATATATATATATATAATATATATATATATATATATATATATATATACATACATACATGTATATATATACATACATATATATAAGATATATATATACAATATAGATACATACATATATATATATTTCATATATACACACACACACCAAAAAATGCAATACATTTAATTCTAGGAACAAAATTTGAACAACTTTGGTTTTGGACCTATAGATGATACCATAGACCAAATATCAAAGCTCTAGGCCATTTACTTTCAGACCAGAAGATTTTTCAAGTTTTCACTATATGTATATAATGAAAATCAATGACCCCCGAGGGCGGGGCCAATTTTGACCCAAGGGCCATTATTTGAACAATCTTGGTAGAGGTCTACCACAGAATGCTTCATGCCAAATATCTTACCTGTAGCCTTTGCCAATTCAGAGAAGAAGATTTTTTATGTTTTACTATATACATATAAGGAAAAACCTATGACCCCCCCCGGGGCGGGGCCAATTTTGTCACTAGGGACAAAATTTGTACAACTTTGGTATTGGACCTTCAGATGATACCATAGACCAAATATCAAAGCTCTAGGCCATTTACTTTCAGACCAGAAGATTTTTCAAGTTTTCACCATATGTATGTAATGAAAATCAATGACCCCCCGGGGCGGGGCCAATTTTGACCCTAGGGCCATTATTTGAACAATCTTGATAGAGGTCTACTACACATTGTTTCATGCCAAATATCTAATCTGTAGCCTTTGCCAATTCAGAGAAGAAGATTTTTTTATGTTTTACTATATACATATAAGGAAAAACCTATGACCCCCCCCGGGCGGGGTCAATTTTGACACTAGGGACAAAATTTGAACAACTTTGGTAGAGGACCCATAGATGATACCATATACCAAAAAGCAAAGCTCTAGGCCATTTAGTTTCAGACCAGAAGATTTTTCAAGTTTTCACTATATGTATGTAATGAAAATCAATGACCCCCCAGGGCGGGGCCAATTTTGACCCTAGGGCCATTATTTGAACAATCTTGATAGAGGTCTACTACACAATGTTTCATGCCAAATATCTAATCTGTAGCCTTTGCCAATTCAGAGAAGAAGATTTTTTTAGATTTACCTATAGACATAAAAGGAAAAACCTATGACCCCCCGGGGCGGGGCCAATTTTGACACTAGGGACAAAATTTGAACAACTTTGGTAGAGGACCCATAGATGATACCATATACCAAAAATCAAAGCTCTGGCCCATGTACTTTCAGACAAGAAGATTTTTTAATTTTGTGTTTTTTGAAATCCTTTTCTGGCCCTGTGACCTACATATGCAACAGACCGGAACCATTTGAACAACTTTGAAAGGGGACCACCCAAGGATCATTTCTGTAAAGTTTGGTTGATGTGCAGTCATTGGTTTCAGAGGAGATGTTGTTTATGTGAAAAGTTGACGACGCACGACGACGGACGACGGACACAGGGCGATCACAATAGCTCACCCTGAGCATTGCTCAGGTGAGCTAAAAATAGAACAAAAATGATGCAATTTCTAAAAATAGCAACAATGACAAAATTTCTAAAAATAGAAAAAATGACGCAATTTCTAAAAATAGGAAAAAATGACGCAAATTCTAAAAATAGCAACAATGACGCAACTTCTAAAAATAGAAAAAAATGACTCAATTTCTAAAAATAGAAAAAATGACGCAATTTCTAAAAATAGAAAAACATGACGCAATTTCTAAAAATAGAAAAAAAATGAAGCAATTTCTAAAAATAGAAAAAAATGACGCAATTTCTAAAAATAGAAAAACATGATGCAATTTCTAAAAATAGAAAAAAATGACGCAATTTCTAAAAATAGAAAAACATGACGCAATTTCTAAAAAAAGAAACAATGACGCAATTTCTAAAAATAGAAACAATGACGCAATTTCTAAAAATAGAACAAAAATGACGAAATTTCTAAAAATAGAAAAAAATGACGTAATTTCTAAAAATAGCAACAATGACGCAATTTCTAAAAATAGAAAAAAAAATGACGCAAATTCTAAAAATAGCAACAAATGACGCAATTTCTAAAAATAGAAAAAATGACGCAATTTCTAAAAATAGAAAAACATGACGCAATTATATACATGTATATATATGATATATATATATATTTGATATATATATATATATCTATATATGTATATATATATACATGCATATATATATATATATATATATATATATATATATATATATATATATTACCTGCATATATGTATATATATACACACACACATTTATATATATATTTATATATAATACATATACTATACATACACACACACCGATAAATGCACAATCTGAGAAAATTCAGTAATACAACCTTCAAGGTCAAGGTCATTAAAGAGCCCAAGCAAATTTGGGTTTGATAAACAACAAGGTCTGGTCCTTAAGAATGTTCTGTTATGATATGAAGTTTATCCCTTCAAAAATAGCAAAGTTACAGTCAGTTTAACCTTGAAGGCCAAAACAATGAAAATTTCAATAATTTGACCTTCAAAGGCAATGTCATTAATGAGTGAAGGTCAAGGTCTTTCGGTATATTTTTAACAGTTATCTTTGAAGATTATTATGTTCAAGTTTGAAGACAATCTATTCAAAAATAACAAAGTTACAGCCAATAATAGCCAAAAAAATGAAAATTTCAATAATTTGACCTTCAAAGTCAAGGTCATTGATGAGTGAATGTCAAGGTCTGACTGGTTATTTTTAAGGGATATCCTTGAAGATTATTATGTTCAAGTTTGAAGACAATCCATTCAAAAATAACAAAGTAACAGCCAATAACAGCATGGACAAGCAAAAATTGGACTTTTAACCTTGAAGGTCAAGGTCATTTATGGATGAAGGTCAAGGTTAGTGTGGTCTACTGAAAGGTCTTGTCCCAAGGGTTGTTGTGGCCAAGTATGAAGACAATACACCAAGAAATAAAAAAGTTATGATCCAGGTACAAGTTTTCGGACGGCAACGGCAACGGCAACGGCAACGGCAACGCCGACCTGACTATAACAATACCTCTACTTTTTCTTTCAAAAAAAAAAAGTCGAGCTAATAAATGAGATACTAGTACAACAAATTTAAATAAATAAACTATCAAGGAAATGCTTGACCAACTATACCATACAAAAGCACAACAGGTTCAATTGTGCCATTCAACAACAAACGTATTTTTACCCTGTGTGTATATGTTAACTAAAAACAAAATGGTAAATTAGTTATCAAAATTATCTACAACCCCATCAACATTATACAACCATACTTACCAATATCACAGCATCACTATGTTTTGTTTGTTTGTTTCATTTTACGTCTTTTCCCAACAGTATTTCAGTCATATAGGCAGGTCATTTCCTAACCATCGTTCCTGGAGAGTTACACCAGTACTAGACTACCTTCCTCCGTGCTAAACTACCAAAGCATCTCCCGAGGATCGAACCCATGCCAGAGAGGTAACTGGATTAGAAGTCATCGACCATGGAGGCGGTTACAGCATCACTAACCTTGGTCCTATTGGGTACTTTCTTTTTCATTTTTGATAATAAAATTATGCACTGTATATAATAACACCGTTAAAACAACATAATTACAGGTTTTCATACACAATCAAATGGCTATTTATAGACTTAGCAAAATAAGAGTAAGAAAAGTAATAAAAGTACAATCAGCTTGCTCATCATACATACATTTTCACATACCAACAATATGCGAAACACAATTATAAGCAGAAAAGTAATGATAGAGTTAACTGTGTCAGTGGATTATTCACACATACATTGATAATTTCACAAGTGATTATATCAAATCAGACCATACAGCTTTAATTACTTTAAATTTTGGTATAACCATAGACTATTAAATAAACATTGAGCTGAATAGCTTCCTCACATGATGAAATGTGACCAGAAAGTGAACATGTATCAAGACACATACATCTTTGAAGTTTTAAGGCTGTGGATGAAAGGACATCTGTTTTATGACCACAGTTAATATATGACCTTGACCCTTTAATTGACCTCAAGAGGATCTAGTGGATAGAGCTCACCAAGGTGCATTCACCTATGAAATTTGCTAGTTATAGGTGGGTGGACCTCTGTGTTATGGTCTAGATTAAAGTTCTCAGACAGTCCAAAAAACAATATATTTTCTTAATCTACCAGTACAAGGGCACACAAATATACAAAGTAATGTCATACAAGGATAATTTATCTCCCTTAAAGTACCTCCTCTGGTCAGTAATAAGTAATTGGCAATCAACATTATAAATCAAACAATAAGCTGCTCAACTTCTTACCACACAAAAATATACAACAAAGTACTTATAAGTTATAACATAATGTACTAGTTAACATAATGACACATGGACTAGCCAAAATATCAACAATCAATAGTGATTAATACAATCAATATATCACCACTTCATGAAAAATACTCATAAAATCAAACAATGGTATAAGAAGATAATTATATAAAACAATAGAAATTTTTAAAATACATTATAAAATAACAATAACTATACATTGTAAAACATTTTTGAAAGTTAAAGGAACTCCACTGAAGTCCAGTAGAATAAAATCATAAATTCATACAAAGATCAACTGGAATACAAAATGTACTTAAAATGGAAATATATAAAAACGATAATTAAGATATAAAATCTCAAAATTAAATTTTAAAAAATCATCATTTAGTGCAATTCTTCGTCCAATTTGCGTTAAAAGTGTTTTAAACGCTTTCAACTTTTAGGTCATTTTGCCTAAAAAAGATTATTCTGGAAAAATGCAGTCAGCGAATGACCAGAAATTTTGCACATGTTGTATTCGTATACACATACATGAAATATTTACAGTCCCATCCTGTCAAAAATCCTAAGGGCAGTCCTTTGAACATCAAAAAGATATTTCTTTAGATATAAAAAAACAACATTAGCAGTAAAGAACTCCCATTTCAACCTTGTGTTTAGGTTTTGAACTACTGTTTGCTGATTCTGTTTCATGCATATGAGTTCTAATATCACTTTCTTGTTTCACATTCTGCTTAGTCCGTTCAGACATTTTCTCTTGACTATTTTCATTCACACCCATTTTGATTTTTTCTTTTGATGTCACATTTATTTCTACATCAGTACCGCATACATCTGGACTAACAAAGGTTTTGATTTTGTACTCAAATTGAGGTTCAGCTTGATCACTTGTTTTAGGTTTTGTTTCTGCCACTTTGTCTGCAGCAGAACTTAATTTCACTGCTCCACTAACACATGTATTACTATCATTGTTTGGGTTTTTGTTTACTAAATCTCTTGTGACTTCTGTGAGAGGCGGATATTTCTCTGACGTCCTAGAATCTATCGACCTCACATACGGCGAGCCCTGTGAATCATATGATGACTCGGTATCAGATTCAAACTCAGCGATGCCACTGTCTGATCGGTCGGGCGTGCTATGAAGAACTGCTCTAGACTGAGACTGAATATGTACTGGATCACTCAGAATGTTTTCCTGACTCACTGAGCTTGACAGTCCTCTAAAACTACTAGTCAAATCATCTGTTGTTCTGAAAAAAAAATAAACAGTAGAAGTAAACCTCACCATTTTCTAATGATACAAAACAAATAAACATATACACTGGAGCCGCGATACAGCGCTCATGTTGGGGTCCATGATCTCAAGACAGCGTTGTAACGAGTAACTTTTTATAACGCTCATTGTGTAATTATAGCGAAAATATCGCATTACCCCACCCACCGCCGAAACATATAACGCTTGTTAGTGGAAATGATTGTTTACTTACCTTCCAATGGATATCAGTCCAAGCTTTTTAGCTCACCTGAGCATGCTCAGGGTGAGCTTTTAGGATCGATGATTGTCCGTCGTCCGTCCGTTCACATTTTGTTGTTAACACTCTAGCGGTCGCATTTTTGCCTCAATCATCATCAAACTTGGTCAGGATGCTTATCTAGTTAGCTCGGATGAGTTCGAACATGGGTATCTCGGATGAAAAACTAGGTCACAAGAGCTAAAAATAGAAAAACCTTGTTAACACTCTAGAGGTCACATTTTTGCCTCAATCATCATCAAACTTGGTCAGGATGTTTGTCTAGGTGATAGCTTGGATGAGTTCGAAACATTCCTCATCTCGGCATTGAAAAAGTAGGTCACCGGAGCTAAAAATAGAAAAACCTTGTTAACACTCCAGCGGTCACATTTTTGCCTCAATCATCATCAAAACTTAGTCAGGATGCTTATCTAGTTGATAGCTAGGATGAGTTCGAACATGGGTCATCTCGGATGAAAAACTAGGTCACAAGAGCTTAAAAATAGAAAAACCTTGTTAACACTCTAGAGGTCACATTTTTGCCTCAATTCATCATCAAACTTGGTCAGGATGTTTGTCTAGGTGATAGCTTGGATGAGTTTGAACATGGGTCATCTCGGATGAAAAAGTAGGTCAACGGAGCTAAAAATAGAAAAACCTTGTTAACACTCTAGCGGTCACATTTTGGCATCAATCATCAACAGACTTTGTCAGGAAGCTTGTCTAGGTGATAGCTCGAATGAGTTCGAACATGGGTCATCTCTGATGAAAAAGTAGGTCACTGGAGCTTAAAATAGAAAAAACCTTGTTAACACGTCAGCGGTCACATTTTTGCCCCAATCATCATCAAACTTGGTCAGGATGCTTGTCTAGGTGATAGCTTGCATGAGTTCGAATATGGGTCATCTCAGATGAAAAACTAGGTCACCGGAGCTAAAAATAGAAAAACCTTGTTAACACTCCAGCGGTCACATTTTTGCCTCAGTCATCATCAAACTTGGTCAGGATGCTTATCTATTTGATAGCTCTGATGAGTTCGAACATTTGTCATCTCGGATGAAAAACTAGGTCACAAGAGCTAAAAATAGAAAAACCTTGTTAACACTCTAGCGGTCACATTTTGGCATCAATCATCAACAAACTTTGTCAGGAAGCTTGTCTTGGTGATAGCTCGAATGAGTTCGAACATGGGTCATCTCTGATGAAAAAGTAGGTCACAGGAGCTAAAAATAGAAAAATCTTGTTAACACTCTAGTGGCTACTGTTTTGATCCAAATATCCTGTAAATTGGTCTGAAAGTTTGTTTTGATGATTTCTAAGTCAAGTTTGAACATGGGTCATCTTGGATGAAAAACTAGGTCACACCGCCCAAATATTGAAAAACCTTGTTAACATTCTAGTGGTCACATTTTCGACTCAATTATCATCAAACTTAGTCAGGATGCTTGTCTAGGTAATTGCTCGGATGAGTTCGAAATCGCATGTGAAACTAGGTCACCGGAGCTAAAAATAGAAAAATCTTGTTAACACTCTAGTTGCTACTGTTTTGATCCAAGTATCCTGGAAATTGGTCTGAAAGTTTGTTTTGATGATTTCTAGGTCAAGTTTGAATATGGGTCACCTGGGTAAAAAACTAGGTCACACTGCTCAAATATGGATAATCCTTGTTAACACTGTAGTGGTCACATTTTTGACTCACCTGTCATGAGACTTGGTCAAAATGCTTGTCTAGGTAATTGTTTGGATGAGTTTGATGGGTCAGGTGAGCGATCTAGGGCCATCATGGCCCTCTTGTTTATATATTATTATTAATTATTTTGTAAAGCATTACTGAATATCTTTAATATAAACATGAAATTTACGAATTAAAAATATAAACCACGAATGTACAATTGTTTATAAATTTCCAGTAAAACAGCGGTGTTAACGTGTGTTATGTGTGGTCATGAAAATTGATACCTAGTGGATGGGACTAAATTAATCGTCTTTCCTGCTGTCTCTTGTGAAAAAATCAGTCATCCTCAACAACTTTTTTGCCGATAGATCGAAAGTAATTGCTTTTTAAAATTAATTAGTATTGTTGGGTGATTAACTTTACTCTTCGGTTTTTGCATGTTTAGCTAACGTTTGATACCCTGACTGGATCAAACAGTTTCAAAATGAACAAAGAGCAAGATTAACGCTTTACCTGTGTATGGGAATTCACACCTTCTTATCATGAGGTGATGTAATTATGACTGTTTATTGCACTCGACTGACACAATGAACAAGCGTTATAGTGATAAGGTGCGGTATTGATATACATGAAAAAAAAATTATAATCGGCGAAAAAATACGATTTTTTTGGGGAGCCAAGGCATATGAGCGTTTCTACTGAGATTAGCGCTATACCGAAGAGCGCTATATCCGCGCTCCAGTGTATCTGAGAAATCAGAACCCAATACAGACAGCTTTGTACTGTTCTGTGTACATATTATAAAACTATAACATGAACCATTTGTTAATTTAACATAGTCACTGACTTTAGTTGACCTGAATGTCAAATTAATCTCCAGTAACAAAAACTGAAGTAATTTTCAATTTATAGTCCAATGTGACCTTTGCCGTAGGCTTCTGATTTTCTCAAAATATCTTAAATTTCAGCTGGAAAGTATCCAAATGCTCTATGATGTAAGACCAGCATACACAAAAAAGGGTTTTAAGTTATTTGTTTGAGCAGAACAAAAATGGTCTATTAAAGAAAGAACATTACATGGATAAACAAGAGCAAAACATTATACAGTTGACTCTCAATAAGTCAAAATCGCTTTACTCAAAATTCCGCCTTAGTCGAATAATTTCTAAAGTCCCGTCAAATTTCCTTCTTTATCTTTGTATTTAAACTCCGCTTAGGTCAAATTTTGACTTACCGAGACTCCTGTTTAGTCGAAAAGAAAATTTGGTCCCGTCAATTAAAGTCCACATATTTTCATCTCAATAAGTCTAAGTGTGAAAACAGCCGACTGATCAAAGGTCGGCGACATCAAGGTGAGATGTTGTCACTCGTGATTTTCCCGTTTCATAGTAATTTTTAATTGCCGGTCATCATGTATTATTAACACGTCGTAAAAGTGTCTTTAATCCGTTTCACGACTTAATTGGTTTTAACAGTTAGATAACTAAATTAAAATTTAATTACATTTCTTTCAATTAAAGTTGACTCGTGCCAGTCTGGCGGATGTTAGTCAAATAACAGCCTAGTCAAATAACAGCCTAGGTATTGATGTGTATTATCAACGTAAATACGAATACGAACTTTATTAAGCATAAAACATATAGTACAATGTTTATAGCCATAGAAATACAAATAAACATATACATACAATGAGAAACAGAACAATTTTCCAGAGAGTATAAATATTTGCCAGAGAAATAAACAATTCTAGATTTTCATACATCCTAAGTTGCTAAATGTCGTCCATATTGTTATATGGTTATGTGTGATCAAGAAATACGTTTCTGATTTGCAAAATACAAAAATTTAGACAATGCCAACAATGTTCTCTTTGATCTAGATGATAAAAGATTATCAAATTTATACATGTTTGGCCAATGACAATATATGATATTTGTATAATTAATGTTCCGTCATATTAATTTGTACTTCCGGTTCACGATAGTTGCTAATTTCGTTTTCGTCCAATGATCAATTAAATCAAATATAATTGTGTGTTTATGTTTCACTATTAATATACATGTATTAAATTTTGAATGATATATTTTTGTTCATTTATAATTTGTAGTTGAAAGTGATTTACCGTCATTTCAATGGTTAAATATTGCAGCATTGCCGCTAACAACAATAAGAAACCTACTTCTTTGCACATTCAATCAGGTACATGTATATACATGTACGAAGTCAACGTAATGGCGGTAGTTCCACGTTACTCGAATTCCGTTTCTCTCAAAGTAAAATACCTAGTCCCTTGGATTTCGAGTTACCGAGAGTCAACTGTATTGTATAATTTTTGAAGTAGAAAAGGAGGTAGAATTGATAGCCAAAAATCACAAATAAAATGAGCCGCGTCACGACAAAACCAACATAATGAGTTTGCGACCAGCATGGATCCAGACCAGCCCGCGCAGTCTGATCAGGATCCATGCTGTTCGCTATCAGTTTCTCTACTTGTAATAGGGTGTGTAAGCGAACAGCATGGATCCTGATCAGACTGCGCGGATGCGCAGGCTGGTCTGGATCCATGCTGATCGCAAACCCATTATGTTGATTTTGTCATGACGCGGCTCAAATCATATCATACCCAATGTATGTGTCCAGATGAAGCTCAGCTTCTTTATAACCTTGTTGAACCTCAAGTTCTGACAGGTTTCCATTCATATACTTGTCTATCTGCTCACAAGTCAGACTGGTCTGTAGAAACAGATGTAGGGTAGTATCGGACAGATATAGGTCAACACCCACAATTCTGAAATACAGAACATACAGATCTAGGTAAATATAAAAATACAATAAACTAAAAATTTGTCCATAGGACATGGGTACCCTCTCACTAGACTTTTTTGTCAATCTTCTTTCTTTAGGTCAAATATTTTTTCGGGCTACACATGACACAAGTTGAAAACTAAACATCTTTTACTAAATCAAGGGAAAGAAATTTACAAATACTGAATAAATCCACAAGCAAACCCCAAGGTAATAAGTACTCATGCTGACCAACATTCTTGTAAATTTTCAAGCCTACAGGTCAAATACTTTTAGAGCTATGTGCAACACAAGTTGAAAATTGCAAATTTATACTAAGTCAAGGGCAATTACTCTAACAAAACTGAACAAAATTAACATGCTAAACCCAAGGTGCACAGCTTCACAGTGATGTTGATCATTATTCCTGTAAAGTTTGTTGATTCTAACTCAAGCACTCAAGATACACATAACAAAACATAATGGAATGGTTTTAACTCGGTCAAGGGCAATTACTCCTCAAATACTGAAAAAATCCACAATCTAACCCTAGGTGCACAACTTAACATACAAACCAACATTTCTGTAAAGTTTCATGACTTTAGGTTAAATACTTTTTGAGCTACACATGACCCAAGTCAAAAATTGCAAATTTTTACTAATTCAACTCTAGAAATACTGGATAAATCCACAAGCGAAACTCCAGGTGCAAACTACACATACTGCCCAACGTTTCTGTAAAGTTTCATGACTCTAGGTTAAAAACTTTTTGAGCTTTTTGTAACACAAGTTGAAAATTGCAAACTTTTACTAAGTCAAGGGCAATTACTCAGATGAAACAGAATATTACAGGTTTTAAGAAAATTCAAAATTGCAGGTTTTGAGAAAATTTGGTATTTGCAGGTTAAGAAAACTCAATATTGCAGGATTTGAGAAAATTTGGTATTTGCAGGTTTTAAGAAAACTCAATATTGCAGGATTTGAGAAAATTCGGCATTGCAGGTTAAAAAAAAAAATTAATATTCCAGGTTTTGAGAAAATTCAATATTGCAGGTTTTGAACAGGCTTTGTGAGAAATCATTATTGCAGGTCTGTTTACTTGTTTTCATTTTACGCCTTTTCCCAACAGTATTTCAGTCATATAGGCGGGTAGTTTCCTAACCATCGTTCCTGGAGAGTTACACCAGTACTAAACTACCTTCGCCACGCTAAACTACCAAGGCATCTCCCGGGAATCAAACCGAAATCACAGGAAAGGTAACTGGATTAGAAGTCATCGACTCTAACCCCTCGACCACGGAGGCGGTTCAATATTGCAGGTTTTGAGAAGTTTTATAGTATTACAGGAGTACAGAAATTCAGTAATGAAGGTCTTTAGAAGATTCAGTATTGCAGGTCTTTAGAAGATTCAGTATAGCAGGTCTTTAGAAGATTCAGTATTGCAGATCTTTAGAAGATTCGTCTTGAGAAATTAAAGTATTGCAGTTAAGATTTTTAATTCTTAACCCAGTTGTAAGGATCCAAAATTGAACATTTCTTAGTAAATCTGATAGAATCTTGCAATGCAAATTCCTGTGTTTTACATTAATATAATATGAAAACAACAAAAGTTAAAAAACTTCAGATTTACTTTAAGTGGCATTATGCTCACACAAGTGTAAATGGTGAGTGTTCAGGTCAAAGTCAAAATAACTTTAGATTTTCCCACACATTGTAATTGTTTTCAACTTTTCAGTCCAGTTCATGTGTATAGTATAGTCAATAACCAAAGTGATGCACAAAAAATTCAATTCATATCCTTTGGATTGCATTGTTTATGTTCAAATTGATAAACAGAGTGGGGCAGTCTTTTTATATTTTAAGCAGTTGATATATTTTTATCCAAAACAATTTTTATTATCAATAATTTGTCAATGACAATCACAATAGTCAATCTTTTTAAAATACATAATTATATGGTATATTATACACATAGTCAATTCAGCTCAACTGGACAATGACAAAAAATGAACATAATGTCACATTAATAAATAAATGGCCTAACTAACTTATTATACCTATATAACCAGTCCTCCAGCTCCTTCATTCTTTGTACCAGAAACTGAATCTCAAATCTGTCAGAAAATTTCTTCTTCTCTGGAAGTGCTGGGCATTTACTGTAATATCAAAATATCTTTTTTTCACCAAGTCATAGTAATGTAAAAACTTTTGTTATCCTATGCTTATAATTTGTTTGTTTGATTTGGTTTTACGTCACACCGACACAGAATATGTCATTTGGCCACGTTCCAGCTTTACTGGTGGAGGAAGACCTCAGGTGCCCTTCCGTGCATTATTTCAGGCATGAACGGGCACCTGAGTAGAACCACCAACGTTCTGTAAGCTAGCTGGACAGCTTCCTCACATGAAAGAATCCAAAGTCCCTGTTGGGATTCAAACCCACAGCGGTGAGGGGCAAGTGGCTTGAAGTCACTGACCTTAATCACTCGGCCACGGACGCCCCACTATGCTTATAATATTTGTATATAGGAATCAAAATATGTAAAGACTAGACATGTGTTCATAGGACACAGATGCCCTATCTCCACTGTATTGTCACAAAACAAAATTTCAAATATGCAAATCTTTGCTAAACAAGGGGCCATTACTTTGCTGACCTCAAACAAATTTGCATCAAAATGCACAGGTGCACAAGTTCAAAAGCTGACAACTATTCTTAGAAAGTTTGGAGTAACACAAAACACAAGTCTCAACTAAAACAGGGGTGTGCCTTAAAACTATACATGCAGACTTAAAACTATAAAATTGAGAGACCGAAATTAAAACTATAATGTTGAGGGACAAGACTTAAAATTATAATGTTTAGTAGACGGACATAAAATTATAATGTTAAGGAGACAGACATAAAATTATAATGTTGAGGGATGAGACATTAAATTATAATGTTCAGGGGCGACACTTAAACTATATATTGAGGGGTGAGACTTAAAACTATAATGTTGAGGGGCAAGACTTAAAACATTTATGTTGAGGAACAAGACTTAAAACTACATGTATAATGTTGAGGGGCAAGATGAAAGATTCAAATTCACAAACCTTAAAGGAGTTCCACTGAGGTGAAAAAGCCTAAAAACATAAATTTGAAATTCTTACATACATGCTGATCAAGTGAAATATTCAAAATAGAAAAATCTGCAAAGGATAATAATGCAATATTCTCAATATCAATATTTCATGCAATTCTTAGCCTGATTTGAGTAAAAATCATTGCAACACTTTTCATTTGGGGAGCTTTTTGCACAATAAAAATGATTAATCTGGAAAAAACAGGTGAGGAAATGATCTGAAAATCCAGACCTATTTTGAATTGAATACAAATCTTGGGAAAATATTTCTAGTCCCATTATGTCAAAAAACCTCAGTGGAGTCCCTTTAACAATTACTTCATATCCTTCACATGCTTATTTTACGATCTTATTAAATTTCATTGCACATATCTATGTATAGCAATGAATAAACTTACTATTTAATCTTGTAATCTATGAGTGAAATATGCAAATAACACAACTGTTATCAGTTTGAAAACAGTAAATGAATTTCCTGTTTAACATATACAGTACATACATAAGATTGATCATCGTTTCATAAAGGACTTTCAAGAAATAGATGAAAGTTTAGTGAAGGAAATAGCTGATGAGACCTAATTTATGATCTTATAAACCTACAAGTAATTTTTTACTGTTCACAAAGAGGACTTTTAATTTTATAATTACTTCACACAATTACTTCACAGTACAGAAGTGTCAGATAAGAAAAGTTTTAAATGCTATTACATGTGACGGTCTTGAGATCATAGAACAAAATCAAAATTATACTTAAACTATGTTGTTCATTGAACAAACTAAATAGTAATACATCTACATAGCCTACTTATGCCAAAGCCAGAACTCAGAGGTTTACAATAATCCCCAAATCTTATTATTGTAATAAATATAGTAAATTAAAGAAAGTAAAATATGATCGTTTCACACAAGCCGTCTGGTAAACTCCATAGGTAGAGCCTTGGACTGTGAATCTGGCGACGGGGTTCAATTCATGGACTGTGCAAGTCATTTTCATTGTAATTGATCATGAAATCCTTTCTACAGATATTCACACTGTACCTCTGCTCTTGTATGTACAGAAGTTATTACTTCCTCGTGAAAGTGAAAGCAACTTATATAGTACTGGCAAACTGGTGGACAGCTTGCCCAAAAACAATGCAGTGGCTGAATTAACTGTGCTCTGGTAAATTCAATGTAGCTAACCGCCATGATCTGGAGTGAAAACTACCAACACCATCTCACACAATCAGAATTCATATACATGTAATTTTAAGAACAGTTACAGAAACCTATGTGAGTTACATAAGACCTTCTGTTTGTTACTTTACTTTAGGAGGTTGAAATAATCTCACCATTAAATAATTTTATTGGTCAAAAACGACCTTCATACACACAACTGATTTCAGTTTGACCAGTCATATATTTATAATCAGACATCACATATAATAATACATGTAGATTAATTCATTACAGAAACAATAAACAATGTAATTACCACATTGGATGATTTTTCTTTAGTTTTTTCTTCAACCAACAAAAGTCATTGTATCTCCGTCTTGTACGTGACTGTCGTAGTGTGAACGCTGGATTACGTGTCTATAACATAAATCATATACATGTATGGTCTTACATATTATAGTAATAATTCATTAAATTATCTTCCCTTTAATATAGCTTTATGGGCCTTTAATATAATTAAACAAGTTAGAGATTTCTGGAGAAGAATCTTTCACTGTGATGTTAAATATGTTGAAGGCAACATTCCACACCATCCTGAATTAATTTGAGCCGTGTCATGACAAAACCAACATAATGGGTTTGTAAGCGACCAGGATGGATCCAGACCAGCCTGCGCATCCGCGCAGTCTGATCAGGATCCATGCTGTTTCGCTTACAAACCCTATAACAAGTAGAGAGACTGATAGCAACATTATGTTGGTTTTGTCATGACGCGGCTCATTTGATTTAATTGAACAAGCTGTCAGTATACTTGCAGAAAATCAGGTAAGGTCCTAAAGGCCAATTTGATTTACAATTATGTCCCCTGGCAAATAACAAATTAACTGGTTAAACTAAACAAAGAGTTGATTTAAAATATATCTAGAAATATAACTGTTGCTGAGCACTGGACAATAATTATTGTTATACATAAACATGATTACAAAATAAAAAATAGACTTATATCTTCATAATAACAATTCTACTTTAACTGTACACATATGAATCTGTATAATAGACTTATAATGACTTGAGGGATTGCACGATCAATATGCCAAACAGGACAGACAAGACATATTTTGGCAAACCTACTTACAGTAACATACACTAGTATATACTGGTTGCATTACATGTGTTATTATACTGCACAAAACACTGTGATCATCAAGATCTAGATATTTTTTTATAATATATTTTGCAATTTACTAATATAGCTTTTCATACTGTCACTTTTAATCAACAATCTAAATGCCAAAATAAAATTAAGAACGGCTACACTGGCTATATCATGGTAGTACAGTCAAGTTATAGCTGCTGGAAGTTTTTGATGAGTTATATACAATTAAACTAATATTACCTGTATAAGAATTTCAAATGTTGTGAAGTTGTCAGTGATGGGATTACACAAACATATATCAGGGTCTGACTTCATCATCTGAAACTAAAAATATACACAAGATATCATATATGTATTATATAAATATATTGCCTTAATGAATGTTCATTATACAATATGATGACTTGGGTGTGTACCTGAGTAAATTCTAACCCAAGACTTTGACTTTGGATAAGGTACACGTATTATCTGTTTGAAAATAAATGATAATGAACATGTTTTACAACATATAATAATGCTAATAATTGTAAAATAGAAAAAAAAACAATAAAAAACCTTGAAGAAAGTCCAGAAAAGTAGAAAAGAAAACTGAAAATGTAGCTGAGGATCAGTGAAACCAAGCCTGTTCAAGGATGACCCCAAGACTGATGTCAATAAGGAAGAAACTAATAACACCACAAACACATCAATAATGTTGCCATTGTTAGGCAGTTAACAATCTTCAAGGATGGTAAATAAAACATCTCTGATTGAAAATGATTTCATGATAAACCAGTTTATCAGATTTCCTCCTTGACAATCTCCTTGAAAACTTATTAAGTAAATAAACTAATTTCATCTAACTCACACTTTCATCCAACTGTTGTTTGTTTGATTGATTGGGTTTTACGTCACATCGACACAGTATAGGTCATATCGCGACATTCCAGCTTTACTGGTGGAGGAAGACCTCAGGTGCCCTTCCGTGCATTATTTCAGGCACAAACGGGCACCTGAGTAGAACCACCGACGTTCCGTATAAAGCTAGCTGGATAGCTTCCTCACATGAAAGAATCCAAAGTCCCTGTCGGGATTTGAACCCACAGCGGTGAGGGGCAAGTGGTGTTTAATCATATAGGTCTAGTCTCTACTGCTTTTTACTCATTTTTAAAGATTTTCTTTATGATTAGAATTCAGAAACATGTAATTCATTATAAATCTGATTTAAAGCAACCATTAATATATATGGTACATAGACTCAGGTCAAACTGCGCTGAAATGTAGCAATTCACACTTACAAGTAAGTTACATCATGCCCATCCAAGTGTACGGGTAAAAATCAAAATAACTTTACATTATGCATTATCATATTCTTCTTTACATGTTAAATCAATAACCAAAGTGACTCAAGGTCAATTCTATAAATATCCTATGGTATCGTAATTGTTCAATTGCAGTGCATTTTTACATTTTATCCTTGACATTTTTTCATTATTCAACTCAACTAATCCAGCATGATATCGTAGTGATTACGTAATAGCACGTAGTCATGGAAACTTGGGATTTCCCTTCACTTTCACAAGAGTATGTTTTACTTTTAGTTTCTTTTACAAATGAAATTATACCTCTGTTGTTTACAGTCCTGCCAGTTTTTAAGCATTTGGAGATTGTATAGACCTTTTTAAGTCCATGTTAAGTCCATCTATGTGAAGAAGTTGATAAAGATTTGTGTACTATCTCCTTGAAAATGTATTTAAAGTAACAATGCATTCACATTTCAAATAACAGTTTAAAAGGAACTTAAACACCAATCAACAAGAGGAAAAAAACTTTAAAAAACTAACTTGAACACTATTGACACACTTACAGTTATATCTGAAACTCAGTTTGTCGTCAAAATTTATTTCCTTGTATGCCTGAATCACAAATCTTCACTGGTGATTAGAATTTATATTAATATACCATATTAATTAACATCATGGAGAGAATATATATATATATATATATCTGTTACACGATCATTTAATGTATAGAATGAAAACATCAGTTAACAAAACAAATACTGTTATGTCTTAACTCCCACTATGTCACAATGTTCAATTAACAAGGATGTAATGTTCTCATATGACGCAGTTCACTCCGTTAAATATCTCTCTAAAGGTAAACCTAAGTAGCTAGATAATTAATTAAGGAAACAATTGTTACAATAAACTTTACCATCTGAGTTTTTAAAGTAATAATATTTCTTTGATAGGTTAGATTTTAGGTCACAACAAACTGTTAGTTGTATCATAGTTTGGGGACCTTTCTGTTGAAAAAGTGTCGGAGTTAAATCGTATACATATACATGCACAGTGCGGTAACTGGACTGGTATCAGTTACCCGCACTCCAGATCATGCCCGGTGATTGGCTTATTTTTGCTGGGGTTTACATATTGTGACGGCAGAGAAAGGGAAAGCGGCAGAAATATCATATTCAGATGCTCGATCATTGGTTACTTTTTCCCGGGGTTTAAAATTATGACAACAGGGAACGTGTTTTTATGTTTGACTATGATACAAAAGAGAAAGAACACCAAAACACTCGGCAATCTGAAATTTATACTCCGGGGCTACGCCCCCTCGTACAAATCAGATAGCCTCGTGTTTCGGTGCTCTTTCTATTACATGTATCATAGTGACCTTTCAGCTTAGTAGAAGTAAAGGAAGACCTTTGTCATCCAGATGGTTATTCAAGGCATATATTAGGTAACTATCTAAAAAAATGTCTTTCCAGGTTTGTAACCATGGTAATTGCAGACCTATATAACATCATGTTAATGTCAGACAAAAAAAACTTATGGTTTTAAGTGATGACATAGTTAACACATACTAGTGATTCAAATATTGCTAGCTGCATGGATTCAAATTCCATCAGAGACAAGCAAATTGTTTCCATGAGCAAAATAATTTACAATTATTCACACTGCTCAATACTGGTTGGTTTAAAGATCGGATTCGAGAGTGTTTCTATAATCTTATAGCTCCCTCGTGACAATTGAACTAAAATAAATTTTTTATAAATTTAAGTTACTGGTCATTCTTCACTTTTGTATACTATAATCTGACCAGGATGATATATACAGTTCAGGCTCCTTTTTTCTATATACTAGAACAGAAATTTCTGATAGAACATCTGGTTTTATGCAATATAAAAATGTAACCTAAAATCCACTATTTTAATCATTAAAATCTTAGGAGCCTCCGCTCAGTTAACAAATGAGTCAACTAAAACATCCAATAGTTGTATGGCAAACTGATTTAAAAGCTAGCATTTTTGAGAATTACGATGGAAGACAATAACCTTTAACACCATTTACTAATTTGTCCTGAAATGCTGGTTTAAACTGACTTTGGTAGATATACATGTACTTGTAGCTAAGATGGCATTTCCTTGCCAATCAAAAAGGTTACCAATAAGTTAAATAAACAGATGTTATACGGAAATCAACAAATGTAGGTGTTTAAAGAAACCAGGAACACTCATTAAACCTCTTTCATATGATTAAAAAAAAAGTTACAAACAAGCACCAAATCAAAGTAAACAAACATGTGACCACTTAATCTACAACCTTTATAAATGATGTTAAGTATTAAAACCTTAATTTGTTTACTGCCACTACCTATATACCAAACTTACACTAATATCACCCATTCAGATAATGAATTAATAACCTTTCAATGTCAATACATCATAAAAATAATTTACAGTGATAACATAAAACATTGTCAAAAATAAAATCACAATTTTAGAACTTATAAAATACCCTGTAAAATTTATCCATTTTATATGGCATGCATAATTAAGCTTTAAGAAAACACTACAAAAACCTAAATATATCTTACTTTCACTTTCAATTCATTGGAAAATCCAAAATAGCAAAAAAATGACTTTACTTTTTTATTGGTTTCTTATATGATCCAGTAAGGTGTCATTATTATAATAATGATTCAATTAATTTTGCTAGTTTTACTGAAAAACTTGGACATGTATAATTTAAATACTTCCCCATGGCCACCATGAATTTAGTTGATAGTGATAGAGAAGAAGAAACATTTAAATTAAATATCTTCATTAAATCAATTAATAAATCAATGTCAGTATATCCCCTTTAAACTAACCAGGAATTATGTATAGATTATGTCATTAATTCTTGTTGTTATAAGTCAAATAAATCAGATGCTATGAACATACTGGTGTAAATTGAAATTACAAATTATGTAAACATTCTTTCATATTTACCTTATCATGCTTGATTTTAAACGGTTGATAACTTAATGGTAGCCTAGAGCCAGGCTAGCCTGAAAATCAAGGGTGTCTGACTAGGTTCTAAACATGCTAATTAGCTGAGGTGCAGGGAGAATTTTAATAAATAAAACATCGCCTCACACTAATAAGTTTCGCTACAGCTCCTGCTGTTTTAACTTGTTAATTCTCAACTTTTCACTTTGCAGGGTAGGATGGCAAAAACACGAATGGAACAAATTAGGCACCATATAATACAGCCCTCAGATTTGCTCTGATTGTATCTTAAACTGTAATTTATCTTAACTGTAACAAAAACACATCCTGTTCATCTATAAATAGTTGTTTCTTTAACCACATCATAACTTATTCGGATTGGCTAAATGACAGTGTGTCTCATAGAGGTTTTACATTGTAACATATTAAACAATAAAGATACTGATAAAAAATGACTTTATAACTAAAAATAAGCTCCCTATAAAAATGCAAATATTGAAGATAAAGTTATCATTTAAGTGAAATAAATGTGTTCCTTTATTCCTTTGAATCTTAAAATCTTTGTTCTGTCTCTTGTAACAACATCATCTTACATAAGGCTCTATAAACTTATTTACCAATGATCATGATCTATATTTTCAATGCTTTCTACAGAATATTATGAACAGTTAAATAAAATTATTCCATAGCACAGTAATTAGTATTATATTAATTTAGATATAAACTAGTTTCTGGACAGTATGCAATTTTTTTTTGTTTTATCAAGACCCAATTATACCTCTTAGAAATTGTACACCACAAGCTTCAGACATTAAGTAATAACTTTTTGTATGATTGATTTTAGGTTGCACCAACAAAGTACATGTATTGGTCAATCATTGTGACTTTCAAGCTAATGACTGGTGGAGGAAGACATCAGGTGCCCTACCATGCATTTTTGCTGGAACAAATGGGTATCTGAGGAGAACCACAAACATTATGTAAGGTATCTAGATAGCTTCCTCATATTAAAGAATCCAAAGTCTCTGTGGGGATTAACAGCAACAAGGGCAAGTGGTTTAAAATCAAGGACCTTAATCAACCAGACACAGATGCCCCTAGTAACAAAATTTATGCCTAACTAGTTCCATTAATGTGCTTGTATTGATGAACACTGTTTCAAAATGTTGTCTGCCTCCCTGAATATCCTCATACAAATATTCAAATCCATTAATCAGTAACAAAAAGAACATATTCAAATATCCAGAATTTGGCCCTGTCCAGAATCTGGTCCAATACAGAATATGGTTCAGTACAGAATCTGGTCCGATACAGAATCTGGTCCAGTACAGAACCTGGTCCAGTACAGAATCTAGTCCTGTCCAGAATCTAGTCCAGTACAGAATCTGGTCCAGTACAGATGCTGGTCCAGTACAGAATCTGGCCTTGTCCAGAATCTGGTCCAGTACAGAATCTGGTTCAGTACAGAATCTGGTCCAGTATAGAATCTGGTCCAGTACAAAATCTGGTCCTGTACAGAATCTGGTCCAGTACAAAATCTGGTCCTGTACAGAATCTGGTCCAGTACAAAATCTGGTTCCATATATAAATGTACATTATATTTTACTATTTTCCTATAACAATATTATGATCATAAACTTTTGGTTTAAATTTTGGATTATACATTTTAATTCTCAAAAATAGAAAAATAGACAACTTTCAAGACAACATGCACTTTACAAATGGTGTTTCTACCAAAATTAATTACTTGTTTATTCTTAACAAGAACTTTTAAAACAATTATAATGCCCTCCTCAAAATATTACAAGAATATCAGTCACTTAATTTAAAGAAAAAGACAACTTCAATAAAAATTTTCAATTGATCAGACTAATTTTTTGTGATAAAATATTCAAGAAAAAGATCATTTTGTAACTACCTTTTATAAATTGTAATCCATTTAACATCCAATGTACAGTTTTTATACAAGAGTTTTAGTCCAAAGAAACAGGATATATTAAAATTATGAAATAAATCGAGTATAATTAAATCTTATCAACATATGTTAAAGCATGTGACTGAATCACATTCATAATTAATATCTTTCACTGTGATAACATTCATATATTAAACAGTGAATAAACCTATCATATATCATACAGGTATTTAAGTTATAATTAAACAATTATTATATGAGTACAAAGATCAACAAGGCAAAGCAAAGAAATGGTCACAAAATGAAGTCCAAACAAAGTACTTTCACAAAGGACCAACAGAAACGCAATCCGTAGAGCACAAAACAAAAAGCATGGGAGGGCACCTGAGAGGCCACTTAATATTATATAATATAAAACTTTGTGTCATAATATGACCTCTCATACTGAAAATTCCTCAAAGCCTTAAATAAAGATATCGGGTAATAAAGATATCGGGTCATGATGATTCTCAACTCTACGCCAACAAAATTTTGGACTTGTGAGAGGCTGTAAATGACCCCAGATTGATCATAAGGTAACGTGTAACCAACGCTGAAAAGCATTTGACTCTATCTCAATCCATTGAGAAGTTGCAGCACTTTGAAATCAATTTTGATGGAAAAAATCAACGCAAAATAGTGATTTTTGGCAATTTTGAGATGTCCCCTCGTTGCCATGGTAACAGAAAATTTAAGCCTGAGCATGTTGTTGCAAGGGCAATGGTCCAGTCAACATTTGTGCCAAGTTTGATTATTGTTGAAGCAGTTTTTATAGTATTATAGCAATTTTAACTTGTAACGGGAGACTTTTCAATGAAAACAGCCATTTTTCACAAAATGCTCAT